AAGACTTTTTAGGGGAGGAATACACAAATACATGTTTACATTTTTGTTCTAAAAGAATGAACAAATGTTTTAAAACAGTGGTTCTTAATGCTTTCTTTTCCTTCGTTTTGTTGGCGCAGCCCTCCCAAAACTTAAGATTAATAATAATAATAATACCCAAACACTCAACCATTAACAATTACAACAGCTGTTAAACCTTCCCTCAGAGGTGCCAGAGGGAGAAGTAAGGCACCTTACCAATTTGCAGGCTGGAGTAGATTGAACAGTAACACAGAGACCCAAACAGCCAGCCTTTGCCTTGGCTCCTGTGCCATGGCCACTTTGCTCCAGGAAGGAACTGAGCTAAGCAGATGAGCAGAAAAGCCATATAGCAGGAGCCAAGGCAAAAAGGCTGGCTGACTGGGCCTGCATGTTGCTGTTCAACCTGCTCTGAAGCTGGAGCAGATTGAACTCTGCTCTCCAGAAGCAAGGGATCACGAAGCACTGTCCAAAAAGGGACATGTGGACATGGAAGTCAATGACTCTGTTCCCCTTGCAGCCTCTTCCAGCTCTAAGAGTCTGTGATTCTATGACTGTATCATACCCCTCAAAATGTTTTGATGGGATCTGAAATGAACTGGGAAGTTAAAAAAAAAAAAGAGGCAGAGGGGAATGGGTTTGGGGCCTAGCAGAGGCAGCCCTGGAGCAAGACAGATACTAGGGTTGGACTCAGCAAAATATGAGATTATTATGGCTTCTCAAATCTGCCAGCTGACAGCACTTTCCAACCCAATCATCCTTTACTCTTACCAAAAAGACAATTCCCACCTCCAACCCCTGAAATCAAGAGCCTCTTGCTGTATTTCCCCCTGTTCCTCCATAAATCATGGTTCTTTAAAACTTGGTGTGTTTCTTGTTTAAAATGAAAATTCTCTCCTAATCCCCATCAGAACCAAGTTAAAAACTTTTGCCAGAAATTTGTGGCAGCAGGGTTTACACCTCTTTGAAGATTCTAGACCTGATCTGATATGGATCTAAAGTTGCTCACCATCATACAGAGTAACCCACCAGGAATGAGTCTATTTTCTTGATGCAAATGGTAAGAAAAAACTCTTCCATTATACAATCAGATTATCTTGAGTGATTTGGGAGGGGGGAGTCATCTTACTAGTATGCTGGAAATATCTGTCATGTTAAATGACAAGAGAGGCCAGATTTATACAACTATTTTTAGCATGGGAAAACAATTAGCTTTGCCAAGTGAAAATAAAAAAGATATTCATAATGGACCCACTAATGGCACTAGTTAACCTAACAATATCTGACAAACAATTTTAAGCTACTATTTCCAAGCATGATAACATTCTTATCAAAGGAAAAAATGGCAGGAAAAAATTACCTTATGGTGACTTTTCCTCTTCAAAATTTATTCTACAAACTGACAATAAATGTTATCATTTTTTCCCCTCAGAGGGCCTTTTTAAAGATAGAAATTATTTTTGTCATGGGCCTGAAAATATTCTATATGGATTTTCAAACTTAAAGTGACAGCATAAGAAAAAGAGAGAGAAATAACATTGCCAGATGTTTGATTTTTGGTTCCAACCCAAAGTCCTCTTCTCTTGCCCATCTTTCACCCTGAGATCCTTGACTAAAAATCCTACTCAGGCTTAAGCCACAAATTCTTAAAAAGCCAGCCTACAAATTATCTTGCCATCACCCAAAGTGCCCAGTGCATATGTAAGTGTGGTTGTTATAATTCTGATATACCAGTAGATCTAAACCTCAGATATAAAAGGCTGGGGAAGAGGGATGTTATCTGATGTTCCCTGGGAAGACCGTATTGTAACCCCTCTACAATGAATCCAAGAAAGCCAGGAGACTACTAACACACTGCCTTCTTTCACAGATAGTCTGCCATCTCTATCCTTTGTCTCCAGTCATTCCTCAGATGATTTGAAAATACGTTCAATAGACTAGAAAAGCCAAGAGAATCGATTAAATTACTGACATATCTTGTAGCAGGTGTCATTAGAGAGCAGAGCTATTCTTACCGGAATTGCATTAGCAGCGTCTGAAAAAGAGGGAGGATGCACACACAGATGACACTTAATACTAACCAGCATCCTAACCTTGCTTTAGACTTCAGAGTGCCATCTTTAAATATACATAATAGCACTTTAAAGTACATTCCAAGTACAGATTTCATTTGACCTGTAACTGATTACTGAACATCTGCTAAGAGAGAGTTTCATCTGGTCTCACAATCAGGAAGGTTTCTGCTTTCTTATGCAGTTTCCATGCCATTTGGAGAAAAGTAACTTGAGACCACTCATCTGGCAGTCAGGATCTGCAGCTGCCTACAGCAGCGTTTTATGGGTGAGATAACTTGGACACCAGGACTCATAATGAACTTTTACATTTGCCTTATTTTAACTTTTGCAAAAGCTTTCTTTTTATTGTACAGACTCAGATGGAGGCTTGCATGATTCACTGGTTTCCCGATAATCTAGCACTCCAACTTTTTAAACTCTTGATGCGCACAAGTAACAATCAGGATTCTTGACTACAAGGCATTTTTATTCCTCTTTTTGTCTGCCTTCTTGATTGTGACTTATGGCAACGCTCAGGGCCTAAGCAGACGGCGCAAAGTGCCGTCTTCAGGGCAAGGAAGGGGAGGGGCAACCACACGCTGGGCACCCCAACCCCTTCCCAAAGACATCGTCGGAGCAGCCGGCCCTCCGCATGGCCGGTGCTCCAAGGATGCCTTTCCACTGCAGCATCCGTGCACTCTGCAGCGGAAGAGGCACTGAAGGTGCGCCGGCAGCCTTTTGCGGCGCACCTTCGGTGATTTGTGGAAGGAGCGCTATTTTAGAATGCGGATGCCTCGGCCCCGATCCACAGCTTCCTGGGGTGGCCCCGTGCCGCCCGTCTGCTTCCCCCCTCAGGCAAACCTATCATGGAGATTCTTGGCAAGAGTTGTTTTCATGGTGGCAGAGGGACATGGAAGATTTGCTTTTTTTCCAGTTCCTTTACTTCTCTAAGGATAATTAAGGTTGTTTGCACATAGAGCAAATATCACATGAACTGGCTGTGACAATTTATTAATGTTTTTCAAGGGTGGTACTCATCTGACTCTCTGGATATGATTGGATTACAACTCCCAGCAGACCTATTCAGCATAATAAGAATGAGGAAAGCTGGGAAACGCAGTGCAGCAGCACCTGCAAAGCTGCACGCCTTCCGTACTGTACAACACATCACACTGACCACCAGTGCTGATAAGCAATAGCAACACTTTCCCCCCACAGACATTTTGCTTCCATGCATTTATCCATCATGGACATGAAAGCACACTTCATAGCCTTGTTCCTTCTTTCTCCCAGACCAAACACAAGTTCACAGAGCCAACAGGACTTTTTATTTCTTATAAATCAAGAAGTTTAAGCAGACCTATTTTTACATCTATTTCCAAAAGACCAAACAACCTGGCAATGATGACTTAAATTCCTCCAAAACCTCTGGGGAACCAATACAGTATATCATCCATCTCATAGGTGGGGTAGTTTCTGAAATATACTATGTTGGTGTTTTATTAGATTTTCAAGAGCCACCAACTACTTAGAAGGATATTACATTGTGTGGCAGGCATATAATTAAAATGAAAGAAGTGTATGCGGTATTTCTTAGCACTTCCTCAGTCCAGGAAGTTTTCAGTACAGTGCCAGCAGTGAGCTTGCAAACCAAGCTTTTTCATTTAAAAAACATACTCCTGGTTTAGAGCTTCGAACATGGTTTTTAAAACATGTGTTTGTACTAGCAGTTAACTTTAAAAATTACTTTTTTAACATGCTAGCATTAATGATAGTTGCAATTTTAATAGCATGCAATTTTTTTACTTACTTTAAAAATAATTAACAATAATTTAAAAACATAAAAAAGAAAAAAGGTAAGAAATCATCCAAAATTACCCCTTTTGAAACCTTTTTTGGAAATTAACAGGTAGACAGTACTCACTCCAGATGGGTTAACATTAATTTTAAAACTTATTTTTTAAAATCAGTTAGGCCCATATTACCCCAAACCTAATGGGCTATGCAGGTAACATTATTTATTCTAATGTGTTCCTTCTATCCTGCACATACATGTATGCATGTGCAAACACAAACACAGCCTTCTTTATTTCAGCAGCCTGAGATAAAGACGTTGAGTTTTTGTCACAGGGAAGAGTTGAAAGTCAAGAAATTTTTGCTGAGCTACTGCAAACCAGACAGAAGTCTATACATAGGTAGTAAACAGCTCTAGAGAGCCAGTGTGGCATACTAGATCTTTCTTGCCCAAATCAGACAAATCTCCATTCAGCCATGATACTTAACATGCAAACTTTGATCAGTCACCATATTTCAGCCTAACTTGTCCCACCACCCACACAGACATGTTTGGTCTTGTACAAAAGGGCCTTCTTGATGGCTGCTCCCATGCTGTTAAACTCCCTTCCTCATGAGGATGGGCTCCATTTCTAGTGCTTTATTCCAACACGCTTCTCATAATATGGCTCTTGAGAAAGGTTCTTTTAATGGGGATATACTATCCTTGCCCCCCCCCCCCCGGCACTTTCCAATTGTTTTTTATTCAGCCGTCATTTTAATATGATGATCTGTTTAATTGTGCTTTAAACTTATACCTTAGTGCTTTTTCATCTGTATTTATTATTTTTATCTTGCTATGAGATGCCTTGGATCCCAGTTTGGGAGTAGAGTTAGGATACTGGTTGAGTCTCCCTTACCCAAACTGCTTGGGACCAGAAGTGTCTTGGATTTCAGATTTTTCAGTTTTGGAATATTTACATATGCATAATAAGATAACTTGAAGATGGGATCCAAGTCTAAATATGAAAACTATTTATGTTTCATATGCACCTTATACACATTATCAGAAGATAATTTTATACATAATATTTACATGGCTGAGCGTATGCAAAGACCTTTGGTCCAATGCAATAAACTTGACTTGACTTGACATGGCTGAGCGGGGATTTAAACTCTGGTCTCCTGAGTCCTAGTCCAGCATTCAAACCACTGTGCCACACTGGCTCACATTTGCATATACATACATAATGAGATATCTTGGAGATTAGACCCAAGTCTAAACACAAAATTCATTTTTGTTTCATATACAATTTATACACAGAGCCCTGGTGGCACAGTGGTTAAATGCCTGTACTGCAGCCACTCACTCATAGACCACAAGTTTGCGAGTTCAATACCAGCCAGGGCTCAGGCTAGACTCAGGCCTGCATCCTTCTGAGGTTGCTAAAATGAGTACCCAACTGTTGGGGGGCAATGAGCTTACAGATGTAAACCACTTCGACATCCCATAGCATGATATGAAGTGGTATATAAATGAAGCTGTTTTGTATATATTGACAGCGCTTTAGAAATTATTAATAATATTAATATTAATATTAATAATAATAATAATAATAATAATATAATGCTTTGTAAAGTAATTTTATACAACATTTTAAACAATTTTGTGCAGGAACAAATCTGTGTATATTGCACTTCACTTTTACAGCCAAAGCAGATGTCAAACAAAATTGGTTTATATCAGTGACAGGGTGATGTGAACTTACCTAATTTTGCACTTTTGAATTAATATGCAAACTGAAACCAAGGGCCGAAGCAGACGGGCCAAAAGGAGCGGCCACAGGCTGCTCTGGCCCCGATCAGCCCAGGACCACGACAACCGGATGCTGCCACAATCCTAAATAAGCCAGCAGCACAAGTTGATTAAATCTGCTCCTTTTGCCAGCAGTTTTGAGCTGCCTAAGGTGACTTCGGAGCAGCTTCTGGCCGCATCAGGGATGTACGTCATGTAAATACCACACCCATGAAATGTCCAGAAGCTGCTCTATTTGGCCTGTTTGTTTTGGGCCTGAATTATCATTTGAGATGCACTATTCTCTAAATTCTGCAATGGCATTCTCCAGTCAAAGAATACACATAAAAGTGAACTTAGGGCCTTTGCAGACTGCCAGAAATAATGCAGCTTGAATCCACTTTAACTGCCCTGCGTCAGGGCTAAGGAATCATGGGAACTGTAGTTTATTGTGGCACCAGAGCTCTCTGACAGAGAAGGCTCAATGTCTCAGAAAAAACTACAGTTCCCATGATTCCCTAGCACTGAGCCAGGGCAGTTAAAGTGGACTCAAGCTGCATTATTTCTGGCAGTCTGCAAAGGCCCATAGTAAAGGAAAGAGGGTACAAAAATATGCATAATAGGGAAAATATCATTTAAAAATGCATTATAATAGGAAAATTGCTTGCAAAAATGATATATTAAGCACAATTATCTAACAAGATGCATGAATTAGGAAAAGTGCGCTCAAAAACAAAATACAAATTTGCATATGAATTTTAAAGAAAATGATCAAAGTTCAGGCTGAATCGAACACTGAAATGCAAAAATTCTCAAAGTCTAGAACATAATGAACTTTTAAGTCTGGAAAAATGAGATAGTAAGAGAAATTAAAACTGACTGATTCATTCATTCCACATAAGATGTTTATAATAGCTGTATTCTAAAATGTGCTATAAAAGCAAACTACTTCTCACATCTGAGCTATATGATGCAACATTTTTCTCTGCAATTACATGTTGGGAATAATATACATATAATATAATGGCTTGTAGAACTCTAAATGGTTCACAAATTGTACTGCCATGGCCAAATGCTACCTGTGGATTGCATGTTGCTTACTTCCTGTATTAGGCCATTAAAAAATTATATCATCTGGGAATGGATAACCGAGTTACTTACATATGGGTGGAAAAGCAAGTGGAAGTAATGCATAAAGTCTGGAAGGAAGAGTGGTTGCAAAATGATTGGAATAAGTCCATAATCTCATCTATTTTTAAAAACATTATAGCATGATAATTACAATATGCAAGTCTAATATGGGTCTTGCTGTAAAAGGATCAGGCCAAATGCAAAACAATCATGTGAAACTATTAACATAGATCCCTAAAATTAATCAATGTCTGTGTACATCAGTGGGCTCTTCCATGAGAAGCCAAGTAACAAAGTGTGCAAATGGTGCCTAATTTTCTAGGATAGTAGCATTCTAAGCATACAATGAAGAACATGGGATGGCTCTCTCCAACAAGGATGTAAATCCTTCAGTACATGAGGTCAGCCCAAGATGTTTCACTAGCTGAGGTCAAGAACAAAATGGCACCCCTTTCCATTCCATGTATAAAAACCAGTTAGACTGAATAGCTGAATCTTTCTTAAACACTGGCAATGGGACACCATCATCCTCTACAACTGAGAGCAGAAGACTAGCTTAGGGGAAACAAGGTGTTACATAGCTCTCTCCTCCAATAGTTTTCTGCTATCTCCTATGGATTTCTGCCTGGGGCAACTGCCTCACTCTTCATATGGTAAGTCCAAATCTTGGGGAGAGTGTGACTGTTACTTAGCGGGTGGGGCTTTGTTGAGTCACATTTGCAAGTCAATAGG